CATTTCCGCTAATATGAGTTTCTGCCTTTCTTAGTTACATACGTTCCCTTTGTGTATCATTCTTCACACAAGTGCAGTTTCATCACTGCACTGGATGAGTCCTCATTAAAATCACCTGTGCTATTTTTCTTTCTTATTTCTTAACCTTTAAGATCTGATCTCCTTGCAACTAGAAAGTCAGCTTCTTGAGGACAAGAGTTGTATTCCACAATCTTACACCCCTGATACTATCTTCCTAAGCACATTTATGAACAGGCATTTTTATAAGGGTGTACAATGTATCTCGGCAGTTTCAAAAGTATAGACATTTTCTAAAAAGGAAATATAAGCTCTCCTCCTTTGACAGCACTCTTGAACATCTGTCATCTTATTCAGCCACACATATATGCGTGGGAGTAAGCTGTCTTCCATAAGACTTCTGTAATACGCACATGCCTACAGAAGAAACGTGCAGTCTTTCATATTCATCTAAAACACGATGACAGGACAGCCCAGAGTTTTAAGAGCACAACCTCTGGAGACAGACTGTCTTGGTTCCAACCTAAGCTCTAACACTTACTGTCCACATGACCTTAAGCAAGTTACCTAACTTTGGTTTCCTAATGTGTAAACAGGAATGATAACATTACTTGCCTCAGAGGACAGTTGTAGGAATTAAATTAGCATACAAACAGTACGTAAAATTGTGCCTAACACACAGGAGATTCTCAGTTATCAAGTCATTATTATCCTAAATTAGGTACTAAAACTTACTTGCATAAAAAACAATTACATTTTAAAATCTACCTTAAAGAATATTAAAAATTATTTCAGAAAAACTCACGTAGACCTAAGAATAGTATTATCAGGTTAGTGTTTTGGATTATCACTGGGGTCTAAGCACAAACACTGAACTTGGAGGTAAGGTATTCTTTTTTTTGTACCAGGAATTGAATTCAGGACCTTGTGCTTGCCAAGCAAGGCGCTGTGCTGCTGAGCTAGATCCCCAGCCCGGGTAAGGTATTCTTATACCACTGATCTTGGGCAGTTTGTAAATTTCATTCTCAATGTACTAAATGTGTGCAGCCCCAATGTTGCTGGCATGGAGTAGACATTTAATAATTCATGTCTGTTATAATAAACGAATAAGCTGCTGTATGTGTTAAACAACATTGGTACTAGACATCTTCAGGTATAGAATCTCTCTGCAATGTACAGATAAAGCTATATCCAACTGCTCTTCAGGGTATCCAACTTTAGCAACTATAATACAGAATGATCATCTGAGAAAGCATGCTTTGTTGTTCTTTATATGACCTGACCTAATTAATTTCAAAACGAATGGTAACACAATACATTACAGTAGTCGCACAAATAAAGTAACTAACTGAACAGTATACACCTCACAAAAGTCCAAACCAAAAGCACTGTATTTTTTTCAGTTCTCTGACATCAGCAGAAATCTCCCTTCCTGGCTAGACAGATCCCTTACAAATGTCTGGAACAAATCCCAGAATTTCAGGTCACTTTTCAGCTACTAAAAGTCTACCCATTAAAATGCCAAGCACATGCCTGAATAGGGTCTTCTCCAGGGCATTCCCTGGCTCCAGGGCCACAGGAAGGGAGGAGGGAGGATCTTACAGTACCAAAACTGAGAGTGCAGGCCAATCCAAGTCTGTTCCTATTGCCAATTTCCTCTATTTTGGGGGAGAGGGGTGTTTCTGCCTGTTTAGGTAGGTACACAAAACAGTGGTAAATAGGTATACGCCTGAAGTATTTCTTGCTTCTCATCAAGAAGGCATTTCTTTCAAAAAACCACTCTATTTTTGGGAGATCTACTCATTCACCCCTCTCTCTCCAGCCCACAGGACTGGGTTAGCAAAGGGCAAACGCTTCATTTAGGGGCTGGTTCCTGGCCCTTCAGAAGGCCTCTGGTTTAGACACGGAAGACAGATGATGGAGGCAGAACGAACTGCCCATGGTTATGTCTTTTTCTGTTGGTTCCTCACTCCGTAAGAGTCAATGACATTCTCAGGGGATGCCGTAGGCAGGAGTGATATTAAACTACTGTATGTAAGAGGGGCAGGTGCGAACCGACCCCTGTGGTCTCAGGGCAGGAACAGCTAGCCCTTTAGGTCTCCTGCTGTGCCCTACAGTCACAGGCAGCATCGTGAGAGCTTCGGGATGCCGACACAATGCTACAACACGTTCAGGAGGTTGAGGCACATGACTTTTATTAACAGTAGGCAGTACTTCAGTGTTTTCCAATAAAGACGGGTGTACTGCTATAAACCAGCAAACGCCACTCTGCTCATGGGAAGGTGTCTCCACTACATTTCCTGATGTGAGAGACTGACTGTCCAGGTCTTCCCTCTGTTCACGTTACCGTCTAGTGGCCTCTTGCCTGATCACACTGGTTCCAAGTGTCTCCCTGCTGCCCACTTTCTTTGGTTCTCTTTATGCTTGGTCAGATTAAGTGAAGGATGCTGCAATAAATTTATGTCCAAAATATACCCCACTTTTTGTCAAAGGACAGGGAGATAATTCTCGCATGCTCATTGCTCAGTCTGTAATGATGATTCTCTTAGAGCTGCTTCTACTCCCCTTGATGGGATAGGGGTAAAGAATGGAAAGTACTTTTATCCTTCCTCCTCAGGACTGAGAGGTGAGATGTTCCCGATAGCCCACGATGGCCCCCCAGCTAGGATGACTGGGGAGTCTGCGTGGGGATAAGATGCTTCTTACATTTGTACAGGAGGTAACAGCTGTATTATAAACCCCAAGAGAAGGGTCTAACCCAAATTCAGAGTGGCTTTCCCTTGGGAATGTGTCCATTTAAAGCTATCTCTTCAGGTTCCATAATAGTATTAGTTCTAGGCAACAGGACAGAGTTTCAGTAGTCTATTATATTTATTTATTTTTAAAAAGAGGTCTAAGAAATAAATATTTTAGTCTCTTAAAGAAAAATGAGTATCAAAATACACAATAGATAAAAAAACTAAGGAAACATTTATTTACTGGTGATTATTTGGTGATGCCAATTAATCCATTGTGCCCATATTTTGCTTAATTAAAATCTCAGAAGAGCCAAGCACGGCGCCACATGCCTATACAGTCAGGCAGGGGATCCCAAGTTTGAGTCCAACCCAGGCTACATAGTGAGTTTAGGTGCATTTGAACTATATAGAGAGATCCTGTCTCAAAAAAACATAAACAAAAACAAAGACAAAAGAAACCTGGGAAGCCTTTAGAGCACTGCTCTGGAACACACTCCATTGATGTTAGGACATCATAATCATGTGGTACAAGTAACAATGGGAGAAAATTTCCATGGCAAATTACTTTTTAGCATCTCTGATTCATCAGAACATATATTTTTACTCAAATGTTATAATAAACTAAGTCTGGGTCTAAACTGATTTGCAATAATCGGAACAGGCTTATTCTTGCCATTTTACGCCCTCACAATTATGATACCAACATTCAAACATCTGTTCAGTCAGAGCATCTGCTTCATATCTGGGATGCATCCCTACAAATTAGAGGAATGTTCTACCTAATGAGCTCCGATTTAATAAGGAATCCTTTTTTATGACAGAAAATGAGAAGACAAATTTATCTCTTTAGTATCCCTCACACCAAAATATCCCAAAGGTTCATACATTTCTAAAAAAAGTTTAATAAAGATAAATACTATACAGTAAAAGTGAGTTTTGTAATTTAGTGTTGTTTCATATCTAAGTCACCATACGTATATCTGTACACGCGTATGCATGCATGTGCGCACACACATTACATAACCAGAAAATGCAGGGGGCACACACATCCTTGTTACTCAGGAAAAAGCTGCTTCTTTGAATTTAATTGCCTAACAGTCTATACATTCTAGAAAATTCTTGACATGGAGCTGTTTCCTTATTTCCTCCCAAAGGCGCTAACGGCTAGATCACCACGGCTTCAGCCTCAAGTGGTAGTTCTCACTGACTCTCGGGTTCTTCCTGGGCTATTCCCTGTTGTCTTCCTAAGCCTTTCTTCGAGTTCTCCAGCTATGTTCAGCCCTCTATGTGGGTCTGAGTTTGCCTTACATGAGAAGTGTGTCAGCTTAGTGTCAGACAACAAGGGGTTAGTTGTTCCAGTGTGCACATACATTATGACTTCAGGCTGCTCTACTGTTTATATTTCTAATTTAAATCTGATTGGGTTTTAGAAGGCTAAGGACAGCAACTATTTAAAAGACCCAAATCTTTAAGATACAATCATAAAATTTAGAAATTTTAGCAAACAGCAGGTCATCTCATTAAACATGAAAGAACCGAGGAAACCCATGGGAAGACACGCCAGAAAAGTGAGAAAATATAAAGTTTAGTGCGTGAGCGTTTGAATCCATCTCTTTGTATTTCCTCATAACTGCTTCTGTGGTTTCCCGGTGCTGAGGACCTTCCTCCCACACACTGGCTTGAGGCAGTCACAGCCCCAGAGAACGCCGCCACTCACGCCCCCTCAGCACTTCCCCCGGGTTTGCCCCACCCACTGAAGGGAAACAACAGCATTTAACACCCAGGTCACATCAAAAATACAACGGGTTAAAGCCATAAAATCAGATGTCAGAACAGCTCACGTGAGCTCCTCGCTAAAAAAACTTAAACAACGCCAATTTAAAGGCAATGCCTTCTAGGGATTTACAGATGGCCTGAGGATCAGAGAAGAGGCAAATGACCTAGGCTACTCTTCTGGGCTCAGGCTGGACTTAACCAATCTGAGACTAGAACTGACCTTATTTTAAAATATTACCTGTGAGAAAGATTTTTGCAATTTCACTGGGTAAGTTTGTTCAATGCTTAATGAGGTTTAGTAGCAAAATTTCTTTTTCTTAAAATAAAGGCTAACCCCCTCGTTTTTGAAAATTAGATATTACATGTTTTACGGTCAAAGGTGAAATGGTACAGTCTGAGGAACACTTATAATTATTGTGTGACTTCCACCTCTGCAGATCTTATCTCCATATATTCTTAGTAACTTGCCTCTGCCAGCTGGAAGAGTGCAGACTTCCCACAGCGTTTTACAGGCTCAGCACCACCCAGCTTCGAAGTGTTTGAAGAGATCTGTATTGAAAACAATTCACATAAAGAATATTAATTTGCAATACTAGACTCATCATTCATACATATTTAGGAATTCTTAGTTTGTGAAAATATCACTGCTTCCAAAGACCAAATAACTTTAAACATGTCATGACATACTTAAACATGTCACACGATCACTTTGAGAATCATTTTCTGCAGTTTTTCTTTTCTGCAGAAAAGAAAAACAGGTGTGGCCTCAATAGCTTATTCTAGTCTTTACGTTTAGGTCTATATCCTTAAAGCAAGATGTACATCTCCATTTCTATTTGAGTGCTAGTTCATCAATTAGCCAAATGTAAAACAGATTTAGAGTTGTTCTGCACAAGACCTCTCTGGAAGGGTAACAACAAGCCCATACAAATTTTATTGTTTTGTGAGTCCTCTGTGTGTATGCTACACAATATGACAGCAGCTGGGGAAACTAAGAGGTTGTATATAAATCACTGACTTTGACTTTAAGAATATGCTCTAAAGTACACTCAAAGACTGACAGTTAAAACCACAAAAGTAAGTTATACAGGTAAGGACCCATGCTATACCGCGGTACCCCCTACACATGCACACATTGCACCCTCTTTTGCAAATACGGATTAACAATGGGCACTGACATAATCAACAGCACTGCTCTTCCTCATGTTTGAATGAAAGATCCTTTTCACTTTCTAGCGTCAGGAACAGCTGAGAAGGACATACACCATTTTGTTTTGTGAGACGGGTTTTGCTATGTATGAATCGTCCTACCTCAGCCTACGAAGTGCTGAGACCATAGATGGGCAGTTCTATGCCCAGCAAGACATACACTCTTAAAGATATTTAAGAAGCCTGAAAAGGTTCTGTCGTCATTAGAGTGGTTATCTACTGTCTAAGTTTTTTATGGTTTTTGTGCTTCTGAATTCTTCCCCAGTTTTCTTTTTTTTTTTGTTTTATTTTGTTTTGTTTTTCCAGTACCAGGGATCGAACTCATGACGTTGCGCTTGCCGGGCAGGTGCTGTGCCACTGAGCTAAATCCTCAGCCCCTCTTCCTCAGTTTCAACGGAGCTATTTCTCAACTCAGTTTAGGAGGCAATCTTGCCTGGTGACTTACGTCTTTACCCACCGCCCACAGAATTTTATGGAGTTCTCAGCTCCAGGAGAAACTGGGTGCTCCTGGCTAGAGGGAATTCTCCCCAGAACACCTGCTGAGTAAGAGGCCTTTGTAGGAGCTTACATTTATTAAGCTAGAGGCCATCATAAAGTGTCTATTCTGAGAAAATTAAGAGGATTCTCTCATTGTGGGTGCTATCAGTTTTAACAGAACCCCTTCGTGTTGATTCCAGTCATTATTTTTTTCCTTAGCTGACAATTTATGGAGTTCAATCCTCTTGAAGTTTGGAATATTTTCCCCTAGTTGAATTTTCACTGATAAATGCCACTTCTACTTTTTCTAGACAAGTTGAATTCCATTACCTTATCACTAGAGTAAGAGAAAACACATAGATTAATATCCCTGACTCAGTGAATTAAGGAATGAAACACTGAACATAAATGCCAGTCCCTTAAATTGAGGTTGTACTGTGTATTAGAGGAGAAATGGTCTTTTGCCAGCCAGACATGACTTCAGTACTTTGTGCTATGTGGACTTAGGCAAGCAATCAAGACTTTGAGTCTCGTTTACTTTCCCTATCAGATACAAACAATACCTGCCCCATAGTACACTGCGAAGATTAGGTTTCGTGTCAGTGAGCAGCACAGTGCTGAGGTCATATCGTGCTTTCACTACGTGGTACAGTATTAGTACTAATGAGTTATCATTAACACTAATAAACACAGGCCTTTAACAGAAATCCTAAAACACTGAAATTGAACAGAATTAAAAACTAAAATATCTCAGGACAATATTTATTAAATTTAGTGATTTTTAGACTACTAGATTTGTTGCATAATCAGGAATTATCTGCTTTCCTAGTCCTTCCACTGGCTCCCCCTGCTGTTGTTCCAGATGTAGCTTTCTGCTCCGTGATTCTGTGTTTGCTCGCGACCATACTATCTTGTATCCGACACACTGTACGGGATCCAAAAGGTTCCACGAACAACTACGGACAACACAGATGCATTATCTACCTCTATGTTAATGCACAGCTGCCTGCGTGGAGGCTCAGGATGGTTTCTAGGCTTTCAAGAGGAATCCCTTCGTTCCGTAAGAACCATTTTCCTCATTGCCTCTGGGAGGCTTTTTACCTATTTATAGGTGCAGGCAGCGCAGGCTTTTCAATGCTTAAGATTGCTGGAAGCCGGCCTTCCAGAGAGGAATGTGTGGGGGAGGTTCGATATATTTTAGCAGCGCAGCGTTCCAGGATCTTCCAACAATAACATTTTCATGGAATGACTTAGCGGTGAGATCTACTTTCCTAAAAACGTCTTTTGACTTCTTAGATTTTTTTTAGAGTGGGGCAATTGGTAGAAAATTGGACACATGTTAATTGTTAGGGCCCAATCCTCATCCGGATCTCTCTATCTATCGTATCTGACATTGCTAATCTTTCTCTTGGGAAGCTCTTCTCTGCTGTTCTCTGACTGCAGGGACCTGCTTCTCAGATCGCTCTTTGCCTGTCTCTTCTGCTGGCTGTTCCTACTGTAGTGTTCTCTTAAATGTCTATTCATGGCTATATGTGTTTTTCATTTTCTTCCAACTGGATGGTGCTTAGAAATCTGTTAACTTCACTACAGTCTCTATTTTGAGAATTATATAATGTTCATATAAACAGTGCTCACCCATACAGGTTAGCTAAAAGGATGAGTACACGAGTCACAGCTAAAGCGCTAAGAAAAATTATCACCCGGGATGTGAAGTGCTAACTTTAAGGCTGCCTAAAGGAGAGGAACAAACACATCAAGGAAACAGGTGGTACAAATCAGTACCAACTTAGGTAACCACGGAAGTCCTCTGCAATTACGACGGGTATTCTAAACACGGCAGCCTGGGAGAAAATGACCCATAACTGTTGAATTAATAAAATAATCAAAGAAGAAAGGAACAATATAAGGATGTCTGATCTTACTTTTAAACAAGTATTAATGCTGCCAACACAACATATACTGTTATATGTTCACTGATTAGTTGCCATGTAAGTATGTAGTGTTTTTATCAAGTGTAATATTCCATAACATATTGAGCATTCCATCACAAAAATGAATGCTTTAAATTTGGACTTATTGCTCATACTCAACTGTGACAAAACCTTAAAATTTTTAAGATTATGGTTGTACTTACAATGCCAAGCTAAATATCTCCTAAGGAAAATTTTAATGTTCACTTCTATTTATCTAGAACATTTAGATTAACTGTGTCTTTGAAGTAAATATGTAATTGTTCGACACAAAGATATACGCTAGGTTTCAGAGTCAGCCGCACAGCAGACAAAGGAATGTGTGGCTTGGTCATGGCTTTTAGACCCGAGAAGTAATGGGGAACAATAGCTCCCTTCTGGCATTATATTTGGTCATCAGTTTTCAGTGAACTAGATCTAAAAAGTGACTGATGTGTCACTCTACCTGTAAACAACAAAAGATGCAGATAGCAAACTCATTCTGACTAACTTAATGAATCACAGCCTGGGAACAGAGTGAAAGCAAATTGGAGGTCCCAGTTATATCTGGATGAAATATGACTGCCAATAAGAAATGGGAGACAGGCTGAAAGGAGGAGGGAGGCAGTCTCTGCATTGTATTTCCTCCCAGATCCTATAAAGCAGATATATGACTTTCTTCCCTTTAATGTAAACATTCATAAGGAACCCATCAACGAAATGGGCTTTATTGAGTTTCATGGTTCCATGCAGGTTAACTTGAATGGACTTTAAGATGACAAGATTTGGTTAGAAGAAAAACATATCCTTCTCACCTTGCAAAGACAGAGACATGGGGCTTTATATGAAAGAAAAAGAAATTCAACTTAAGAAAATACTTGGGCCTTATTGTTTTTTAAAATGTGTATTTTTTGGATAAATGTATTACACAATACATGACCTATTTTTAAGGGAAGGTATAATTAAGTTCCTTCCTAGAGTTTGTAAATAAAATTAGCAGGAATGGTTTCTAAGAATTTTGCAAGCCTAGTCTTAAAAAATATTATAAAACTAAACATGCTTTAAAAAGTGAATTGTTTCTTAAATTATAAGAACATTTACTTCTCTCTAAATAGGTGATAAAAGGACCAGGAATGCCCACACCCCCACCTGCCCCAAAGGGATAGGGACATACAGCAGTCCACTGGGTAATTTTCAAGTATACACCCCCCCTCTTCCTCTCTTCTACCCTTTCTGCTTAAGGCCACAGAGATACCAGAAAGTAACAACAATAATAATTTGGGGGTTAAAAATAACTATAAGAGTATTAGTTTTGGTTTTTTTTTCCCTTTGTTTTTTGAGACAGGGTCTCACTATGTAATTCAAACTGGCCTGGAGCTCACTATGTAGCCCAGGTTGCCCCTGAACTCACGGATGATCCTCCTGCCTCAGCCTTCCAAGTGCTGGGATTACGGGAGCAATATAGTGCTGGCTCTACAGCATTGGTCTTAAACTGTGGTTCCCTCAAAGAAAACTTGTAAATACAAATTCTGAGACCCAACTTCAGGCTTAATCAATCAAATCTTGGAGTAGGGCCCAGAAATCTCTGTTTGAACAAACTTTTTAGGTGACTCTGATGTGTTTTAAAGTTTGAGGACCTTTGCTATGGACTAATTAGAAAAACAATTTCATGAGGCTTTGTTTTCTCAAAGGCGATGGTGTTTTATGAAATAATTATAAGAGTTTTAGGGGTAGCATCTTAATAATTATGGACTATTCTATTTCTATTGCAATATTTGTTTATCTAGTTAGCTCTTGTTTAGCCTTATGTAAACCAGCCCAGTACTGGGCTGACAATTCAGTCAGATAATAAGATGCTACATATTGAGACTCAGGATTCTGTTTGTCATATGAGAAAAATGACCACACTATATATCCTTAGAGAACTATAAACTTCTCAATTATAAGACACATAAAATTCACAATTAAATAATAATGCCCTGCTTTAATTTGCTTAGAAATTATGCAAAATGTACCTATGAAAAGCAATATCCCGAGAGTTGGAGGGAGAAGACTACTGAATTCCAGGGCATAATAAAATTACACCTTTTTACATTATCACTGTATTTTGGTATTTCATCATGCATGTCTATGCTACAATCCACTGAAACAACTCCTAGTCAGTTTTCATATTAACAATATTAAGCTTCCTCAAGTCCTACACACACTTCATGTCAAAAACCAAGTGTCCCTAGCAGAAGTGCTATTGAACAGTGGGACAACCTCTGGAGCATCTGGAGATGTCTCCGCTTGAGTCTCTCCCAAGCTGGAAGTTCTTATCTTCCTTAAAAAAAAAAACAAAACCTTAGTAAAATTAAGAGACAAGACCAAACCTTCTCCTCTGAGGAGTCTACTGAGCATCAAGAGCAAATTATTTTGTTTGAGAGAGGCACGGAATCTGATTCTGTAGATAGCAGCTATTACATCATCAAACTGATCTCTCAGAGGGCTCCTGGGCCTTCTAATGAATCTGATGATGGTATCTCTTAAGTAACATTTAATTGGGGCTGGGATTTAGCTCAGTGGCACAGCGCCTGCCCGGCAAGCGCAAGGTCATGAGTTTGATCCCTGGTACCGGAAAAAAACAAAAACAAAAAAACAAAATAAAACATTTAATCATGCTGACAGACACACAGCGACTCCAGCTGAAATGTTCCACACTGACATTTTACACTAGGTTGAATACTCTTAGTAGTTAATACATATGCAAATATCAGGTGGGTCAAAGATGAGCCATTGTACCTTTCTAATATTCGTTCTACACAGTGAAGAATTTAATCCAAAGGCATATAGGCAAATAAATTCTGTTTCAAAGGAAATGTTTCTGCAAAGTTGGATGGGCCTGGCTCAGATATCAACATTAAAAATAAATAATCAACACACCAAAATTCTTTTTTTAACTCTTGAACAACTTGCTAGCATCAAATAAATTGGTATCAACACTAGAGAAAAACAAAAGGTGTTTGTGAAACTGTTTTCCCAGACAGTGCAAATAACAGCCTGTTTTTCAGAATGAAGATTATGATAAAATCTTAATTTATTCAGATTCATCAAGCAACTTATTCTGTACAAAATGATAACATTATGTATTTTTCTTACTGTGACAGAGATGTCTACCTCATGAGCAGATCAAAGATGGTGCAAAGTCAGTGGCTGACACAAGTGTCCCCAGAGGAAGCAGAATTATTTTGATTTTATTTTTTATATTTTTGATGTAAGAGCCGAAAGTAATGTTTTTCTCATTTTCAAAGTAAGATGCTAGGTTTTCTCCTACCAAAAGGATCTCACTTTACATTACATTTATGCGGCACCCTTTATTCAAATGAACCCAAGAGATTCAATACATCAATATTAAACAGAGTAGGCCTGCTTGTCATTTTCTCTCAATCTACAAAGCGCTACTTTTCGATATGTGTGTTTGGTTGGAGTTAATAGGAAGGGAAGAGGGGAAAGGCCTGAAGCAGGTGGTATTTTCATAGGCTGCGTGCATTTTGTCACCTGTCCTGTGCGCTCATTCTGCATGAGCACATAGTCGAGGCTAGGGCTACTGCAGCAAAGTGAAATGTATCAGGTTTGCCTCCTGTGCAGTCAGCCAAGAAGATACTCTGCAGTGTGTGCTTTCCGGCTGGGAAGGCAAGGAAACCTGAGATCCTGCAAGGGCGGCAGGGACACAAATGACAACCCTGGCGCAGCTATGTCACACAGAAAGCGCGCGCTGATGACTCCACAGAGCTGGCGCACCGCTGCGCCTGCCTTGAGAGAGTCATTCACGAATTACCGCGTCTGACTTTGCTATTGGTGACATTTAATAAATAAAATCCTGTTTCTCATGTTGACAGTAGTGTGTCCAAGGTTTTACATTAGAAACAAGGCAAGCTGAAGTAAATAAATTACTGGTAAGTGTCTATTCTGAATGAAACCTTAATGAATGCTTATAAGACGGGTATACAATCTAGAGCTGATTTGATTACATGACACCAAGGCAGCTGAGAGCCACGGCATTCTGTGCAGTATGTCAGAAATGGCAAGAGTCACGCCTGCGGTTCACTGCAGGTCATTTAAAACTCCATCTCAGTATTTCCTGGGCTCAAGTGTTCCGAGACCCACAAGCACTGAAGGCCGGTGGGGTGCTCACCTCTGCGAACTGAAACAAGGCCGATGCCTGACACTGTTTTGTAGGAGCATCAGGGTGGGATGCGCTTGAAGATATCTGAAAGGCAACAAGTAATTTTTAAGATTCAAAGACATTGTCCTTATCAGGCTCCTAGGTTCTGCCGTGTTTCTCTTGTAGAAACTGATAAAGATGAAGACATGGGTCATCACCCTCAATCCCGTTTAGAAGGAAGTGTAAGTGATAAAGCAAGACAAAGGCCCTGTCTAAAAACGATGGTTCTGAAGAATGAAAGGAGCTTGGCTCATCTGCCAAGACCCGTGCAAGGGGATCAGGTATGCATCAAACGGCAGTTCAGGAGATCTGTTCAAGTGAATTTCCTTGTTTCAATTACTTTTCAAAAATATGCATAATTTAAAGCTGGAGGCTGCACACACGATCAGTCATTCTCTCTTCTCCCTGCCTATCTCCCTCCAAGCCGTTCTCTGCCGAGGCAGCTGTGAGACAGTACAGGAGCGGCACACGGACATGTGTCCCCATTCTGAGACTGAATCTTCACTCTGCTGTTTACCAGCTACACGACCTTGGGCAGTTCAGCCAAACTTTTGAGACTTATTTTTCTCAAATGCAAACTGATGATAATACTCATTTTATAAAATTACAGTGAGAAAAAACTAAGCCTACTATAAGCAATAAATACACCTTAATCCTAACACTAAAATTGTAAAAGTCACTTTTCAGAAAAGTGACCTTTAGAAAAATTAGAAAAGCTATGGACCATGCAGTAATGTGGCATCAGAGAGATGTTTAGGGATGACAAAGAATTATTAGAAATACTGAATTATTGATTTTAATTACTGTTGAAGCCATTAGGAAAATTTTAACTCTATGTTTCTTTTGAATTAGACAAATTACCATTCTTAGAATAGCAAACCAGATACAAACAAATCATCATGAATAGATACTATTTGAGCAAGTGTTCTGAAGATGTTCAACAGTGAAATTAAAGCTGGGGGTGAAGGAGTACGCCTGTAATGCTAGCACTCTGGGTGGAGGATCACAATTCTGAGCCGAGCTTGACAACTCAGTGACTTAGGAAGACTCTGTCTCAAAACAAAACTTTCCAGGGGCTGGGGATTTAGCTCAGCGGCACAGTGCCTGCCTAGCAAGCCTGAGGTCGTGAGTTCAATTTCCAGTACCAGAAAAAAAAAAAATTTCCAAACAGGGGATGGGGTAAGGATATAGTTCAGTGCAAAGGCCCTGGGGGTTCAATTCTGGGTATCACAAATTTAAAAAAGAAAAAGAGTGGAAATGCAGAAGTCTAATTGTTCAAACCACATACACAGCAATTTCCAGTGAATATCATATGCAAACGTGAAAGACTACACATATGCACCCATGGGAGTTTTCCTGAAGTACTGGGAAGTATAAACTCAGTAGGTCTTACTTCAGATATTACTTCTTATCCCCACTAACCCTCCACGAAACAAAAAATAAAACAACTGATGTAAAAAGAAATTGCACTTCACGGCAGATCTCACACAGAGACAGAAAGAGGTAGATTATGAACACTGTGAGCAAATATATACTGTAAGATTCTGGTGCTATCACCAAGGCATTTAGGAATACTGTCAACAGTCTCCAAGGACGGCCTAATGTGCCAGCACACAAAAAATCCAATACTAAAAACACAGTCCCCTTATAAAACTGTGAAAGATGGGCAAACGCTAGGAAGGCAGAGAGTGACAGAGAATATATAACGAAAAACAATTCAAGTGAGCAAGGGGAGATTAGGTGGCCTAAGCTTTAAAAAAAAAAGTCATGAGAGCTCATATAAAATTCCAGGATAAAGGAAGATATTTTGGGAAGAGTTTTTATCCCTAGACTTGATGTCCAGGATAATGTGCTCAACTACATTATCTCTCTGAAGCAGTTCTCAGAGGTATGCTGAGGAGAACCGGTCTGACCTACACCAAAAGACTGCAACTGCTACCTCATGCTACAGTTTCAACAAAGAGAGAAGCAATATGCATTTCTCTTTCTTTCTTATTTATTTACTTAAAAGAATTCCAAAACAATATGATATGAGGGTAACAATGGTTAATACATTATGTACTGTTATCTTTAAATTAGTTACTCAGAGTATAAAATATCAACATTTAGTTATCCAAACAATAGTAGCACAAACCTATCTTTTCAATGAACTAAGAGAAATTAGTAGTATAACTATCTGAACAATCATATATATATATATTTTTTTTTTCCTTTAGCTTTTCCTTCCTTCTTTTTTCCATTCTCCCAAACCAGCTGCTCTTTCTTTTTGAAGTTTCTTCCCATTGGATCTTATTTACTCTTTCACACTAGGGAGACAATATGATGTTTACACATTTGCATCTGGTTTATTTCACTTAACGAGTATAGTCTCTAGTTTCATCTATTTAGCGATAAAAGTCTCCAGTTTATCCTTCTTTATAGCTGAGTAGTATTCCATTACACAAAAAGACCACTTTTTTAAATCCACCTCTTGGTTGATGGGCATTTGGGTAGTTTCCAAGATCTAGCTATTACAAACTGCTACAAATGTGGGTGCATATATATCACTGTGGTATGATGTTTTTAATTCTTCTGAGAAAATACCCAGAAGGGGAATAGCTGAGTCGAATGGGACCTCTAATCCTAGTTTTTTGAGGAATCTCCACACTGATTTTGCTATACCAGTCTACACTCCCACCAACAGTGGAAAACGGTTCCTTTTTCCCCTCCTTTTTTTTGAAATGGGTATTGAACCCAGGGCCTTCACTTTGAGCTACTTCCTGACCCCTTTTTTATCTTTTAAAATTTAATTTTTTTCTTTAACTTTGAGACAGGGTCTAGCTAAGTCTTTTAGTTGCTCAGACAAGAGGCATGTGCTGATTTTGTCTGCCTATTTATGAAATTAACAGGTAATAAATAAGTTCTAATAATTCATTTGTATTCTTTACCTTACTACCCATGAATAAAAGTTAGTGATGAGGTTTAAGTGTAGAAATACTTAGTATAATTTAACAACAAGGCTTCAGAAACACAGTTATTCCTTAGCTAAGAACTTTAGAATTCTAAGGTTTTCCTCTGTTTTCTGATTTATGGTTAACTAAGCTGAGTCGAGTTCTTCATTGTTCTGCCATCAGCCCAAATTTAGGCTTGCTTTACAATCTCATGACTAGCTATAAATTGCAGTACTGACCTCAGCAAACTGGAACAGTGGTGACTTCTGACGCAGTTCTGGAGACTCGGGAACATCAGGCCTGCAGGCCCCCGAGGATATCTGAAACGGAAAGGTGGCATGAGGCATCCCAGGAATAACTTCTGGAAGGCAGCAAAAGACAAGCACCACCTACATCTTCATTTTAACAAAAGAATGGCTTCACTGCCTCTACGTTGAGGCAACACTGTAACAAAAAAGTGGTTACTGGGCAAAGCTTTGAACAAGTGACCATTCAGCTGCTAAACCATGCAAAGAGAGGGAGATGGACAGCACGGCCCTTGAAGGAAAGTCTGGAAGATGCAGTTTTATCATTTGGCTTTCTGCCACGGCACCCGAAGAATACCCACTTGTTCTCTGTTCTGTGTTTCCCCAATGCTTCCTACCAACCTTCCTACGTGCAAACACGGGTGAGACCTGACAGCGCTCTTCTGAGAAAACAAAACTCAAATCAAATTCTTGTTTTCCAGGGTTTTCATGTACTTGTAACACAAGTCTTAATCTCAAGATGGCTGGTATTTATTTAAAAGCGATTTCTCTTGTATTATGTATTTTCTATTACTTACTATTCATAAATCTTGTTTCCTATGGGGTAAACATTTAGCCTCCTATCTGAACTGTATCTTAATTATTGATAACAGTCACTGAAACAGCACTTTAAAAAATTCTATCCATCAAGTGTTCTTCTCAGGCTCCACTTGCTCTTATCTCCATGCTAGCACTGGTCCATTTCTGCATCTGGATGACATAATCGCTCGGTTAACTGTGATGCAAAAGTCCTAGGACTCACAAAATATTCGAGAGGCAAAGATTGAATTACCTCTCTGATCCAACATCCTCTTGTTTTACAGATGCAGGAACGCAGGGCCAGGGAGCTAGGTGACACTCTCCCTACTACTCAACAGTCCCCTTATTCTTTAACACCTGCTACCACAAACATATCTGTGTATGGGCCATCCCGTCCAGGAGTTTTGCTTAATGTATTATTTCCAACACTCTCTGGGTGCAGTGTAGATATTTAGTAAGTATCTGCTGAATGAACTAATGACAGCAGACAACAGGTTTTCTAAATCCCAATCAGTCTATTCTTTCCCCACTCTCCTGAATGACAAAGCCAGACCGTCTGTGCGGAAACAGTTGTCTTTCATTTTAAGAACACATTTTAGTAACTTGTCTTCTGACTAAAAATATCCCTATAACTGACTAAAAATTTCCATGTGAACACTTTAAAAAGAGCAGAAATACCCCTACAATGTTACCTACCAAACATAAGCACTGTTAATATTCTATATATATCCTCAGTTGTATATGTAATGTTTTCATGAAAATAAACATTGCAGTACAGTTATGAATGCTCATTTTCGAGACATTTAATTTTAATAGCTGTGTGATTTTATTAGATGGTGAATTCTGAAGAGTTGCCAGTTATGCTCCTGAAAATAGTTCCCAGTGAACCTTCATTAGACATCGGGGATGTGTTTTCCTAGCAGTGTCACAGGCCACTGAACAGGAGCAAGCATGTAAAATTTTAATTGTCACCTCTGGATTTTTAAAGAGCAATGGCCAGCTTTTCATAGTGACAAGCATCACAGAGAAGGTGTAGAATCTTTAATTAATTTGCTTCCTGAGGTTTCACTACAAAACCTGACTCCCTTATTGCCACTTGACTGTTTGTGTGTTACGCCAAAAGCTCCACCAGGGACACACAAAATGCACTCAAAAGGATGTGAACAAGTCCTGAAATTAGTAAGCACAAAGGTTTGGAAATCCCTTTATTGGAAAAAAATCTTTATAATTTAGTGATGATATAAAAAACAACACTTTCCTGGTTTACAAAGAAATCTGTGTGTTTGGCTTCTAGATATTTTGGTAAATAATCAAAACTTGACTTAGAATCCATCTTGGAACTGAGTGCAAACTATAAAATGTCTTTATAAAAATTTAACAAAAGAGGTTGTATATGCAACAAATATCTGCAAGATATTTGGAATGAAGTATTATTTAAGGTACATGCACTGCGTAAGTGCTCTGTAACATATGTAGTCACACACTGTGTTACAGCAAGTTTTAAGAGACATGTTTTAAGATCTGCAGTTAGGTGATCTCATCATGATGCAGACATCATAGGGCATACTTACACAGACTAGGATGGCCACAACCTTACGGGATCAAAGTACATAGGCAGCCTGCTACCCATTGTAATGGTACTAGAGCACTATGCAGTGCATAACTGTGCTCTTATTTCAGATCTCATTACGTGTGAGAAGTAGCTACCATTTGTGATGAAGTAAGTGGTCCCATGGCCAAGAGTTCCTATTAACAACAAGAAGAAGATTGAACTGCAAATGTCATTTATAGGTTATTTGGCCACAATTATGTATCCAGTCATGAAATCTGAATGACAGTTTCGGATGTAAGTAATTATGAAGGCATCTCTACTCCTGCTCATGAAAGAAGTCTGTGCATATGTGTCTGTGCTCACCAGGTACCTGAGAGAGTTGACAGACTTGATTCTCTGTGTGTATTTGAGTACAAAGAGGCTCAGGGGCCTGGCCATGAAGTACAACAAAGATTGCCCAACGGCTTCCGCAGCATGAGTGGACTTGCTAAAGCTCCTGACTCTAGTGGACTGTTCTCTCTCAAAATCTGGCTGCGATTACTGATTACTTTAAAGCAGTGTAGATTTAGGATGTATCTTCAGTGTACTGTGATGACAACAGCACAAAATTAGAGCCAGGAGGACAGGGATCTACTGAACTATAGAGTTCTCTGACTTGTTACCTGATTCTCTAGTTCATAGCACAATATAAATAGCAAATCAGGAGGGACCAAAATAGGGGGCCAAAGTGGGAACAATAATAAAGAAAGTTGTAGCTGGGCATGGTGGTGTATGCTAATAATCACAGCACTGGGGAGGCTGAGGCAGAAGGATTGCTGTGAGTTTGAGGCCAGCCTGGGCTACATAGTGAGTTCAAGCCCACCTGGAACTACATGGTAAGACTCTTTCTCAAAAAAAAAAAAAAAATTTGCTGTAAAGGAAACAAACAATGTAACAGAACTAGACAAGACAGAGGAAGAAGGTACAAAAAGTATAAAGAACATAACCTAAAAATATAAAAATGGTTCACTATCATAGCAAATTTAAAATGGATTTCATTTGAGTGATTAATGAATAAGCCACTCAACAAAAGTATGTGTATTATGCATATAACAATGTATACGTTTATTAAATATAGAATTCTATATGTACAAAACAGAATTTTTCTCCACAAAAGGCTATCTCAGTACTTCCATTAGTTGGAGGGTCACAGACTTTGTGAAATGTATAAAATATTGTGCTGTGCTATGCCATCTTGCTGCCTGTTTTCAAAATATATTAAATTATTTATTTTTTATAAGGTGGGGCATACACCAGTTTCTCAAAATGCATTCCTATGTTAATGGCAGCTTACTTACTAAAAATAACACAACATAGCAAGTCAACCATATTTGTTTGTTCATTGAGGAAGAAAAGATATTAAACACACAATGGTTAAATAAAAGGGGGAGCCCAAGAAGCTATTTCTAGAAATAGCCTGTGAAATAATGCAGAAAGCCACTAGGTGTTGCTATATGCCCAAAAACAAAATTACCTAAAGGGATTTTTGCTAACCACATATTCAACTTCCTTTAAACCCAGTATTCCCTTTGATTTAGCTATAATTTTCAATAACCAAGGAAGGGAAATGATTAGTATAATTAAGAATTAAGATGAAGTGCTTTTTTTCCACAGGAGCAATTCAGATTGTGAAAATTATAGACACAGAAAACTGACCCCAGCCTCCTGATATAAAACCAGATCAAGTCAGCTATGTACCCTACGTGACAGGGGAAGCTACGGCCTACTAAGGGCCAATTCCTACTCGCAAGGCTCAAGACTCGCAGCTGCAGGCACCAGTGGGGTGTGCAATCACTGCAGCGCAGTCATGTCCTTACACCCTTGCTAATTCAAACACGTTTGTTACTATTCGCTCACTTGATAAACGTTTATTATGTACAGCCACGAAGACTGCCGCTTTTAAGACGCTTAAATTCCACGCATTTCTAGTATATAGCGGGAAATAAAATGAAGACACAGGGAATGTGCCAGACCCTCAGGCTCCTTGCAATTTAAATGCAGGTGACAGCTACACTATGTAAATGCTAACTAACAGTGGAATATTACAGGGTCCACAGGAGAACAGAGAAACAACTGTCATTTCGTGGGTGGAAGACGATAAGGTAATATCTGAGATATCCCTAGGAGGAAAGCCAGATTAAGTGTGAAAGTGAAGTAGTAGCTGCAGGTGGTAAAATATGGAGGCAAGTATGTAGCCTGTGTTTCTGAGAAAGTGACTTTCCCACTGTGGGTAAAGAATAAGATGCAAGGGCAGTGTTGTGGGAGAGGAATCAGACTGACGGAAACTGGAATTCTATGTTAGGAGGTCTAAAAATTAGGCTGGAGGAAACGGGGAGCCAGCCCAGATGTGCAGTCAGAAGAACAGCATGACGAGAGATGTGCAGTTAGGTAATTATGTCCGAGGTGCGCCGGACGACCTCGGCTGGGAGTGACTGGAGATAGGAGACCAATTAAAAGGTTGAGGAAATAAAGCAGCAGAGAAGTCAGGCGCAATTAAATCAGAGACAGCACTTGCTAGCCCTTGGTAACTGGAAGGATGTTAGAACAGAGGGGGAAGGGTCAGACAGAGCCACTGTCTCTACAGTCAGTCACAGCTGAAAGAGGGGATCTGGGAGGAGGAAGGGGGCTTGGACTGGGGTAGGGAGTATCTTTCAGAAGGAGAGACAGTTTGAGGGCAAGGGATGTCATCTGAGGGCTACAGGGGAACCGGAAACCAAACACTATACCTGGGTTCCACTACTGTAGTACACTACGTTTAGGAGGGGTCTTGGGCTACTATGGGAAGCAAACTGAGCAGCACCCAGAGATCACGCTCTCTTAAATTAGAGTATGTGTCTTAATTGCTTTTCTTATTGCTGAGTCAAAATACCCGATGCCCACTAGTTAAAGCAGGAAAGGTTATTTTGGCTCACAGTTTGTAGAGGTTTCAGTCCTTAGTCAAATGGCTCTAAGGCAGAGGGGCATAACAGAGGAGAAACAGTCCATGGCAGGGCAGGCAGAAGGCAACAATGGTGGCAGTGGCAGCAGCAGCAGCAGCAGCAGCAGCAACAGCCCTGCCTTCCATCTTTCCTTTTCCCATCTAGATTACAAATCTTTTGAATGGTGTCACACACACCCAGGATGGGGCTTCTGTTTTTACTAAATCCATTCTGCTACACCCAGAACTTACTAATTCTAATCAATGGACTACTTTAGTATCATACACCCTTAATCCCAGTATCACACACCCTAGATCCACCCAGCTCTAAAGAGCCACACTTATGAGTGCATGAAGCTTTGTGGGGGACATCTAGATACAAAGCACAGCAATGTGTTAAGCTATCTAGCTAAAAGACGAACAGAGCTTCATTTTACTCAGAGCATCAGACCTACTAGAGTATTGATTTCACTCTATGGGTAAAGTTTCCTACTATTATAATCATGTGGGAAAGTAACAGTAAGGGAGTCCAGACAGGCTCCTAGCCAGTTCTACAAATGACAATAGCATCTTTCTGCCTCAGTTCTTCATCTGCTAGGTAGGATGCAATGCTACTCTGCCTTCTTGCCGTCTTCACAGGACCATGTGAGAAAAGAAACAGCAAAGTGCACATAAACATTCAACACGGAAATCAACAGTAACTCTTTCTCTTGGTAATGACACCTCTTTCACCCTCTTGTCCATTCTCTCTTCTTATCCCAGCACTCTTAATGCTCACTTTCCACAGTGCCCATTCCATCATCTCTGAGAGATCAAGAAATAAGCTCATCAATGCACCCTGGGAACTCACTAAGGCTTTATGACTGTTAATCAGGCTGGGTAGAAAGTACGGAATGCTCCAGCCTTTAAGCCCCACTGCTGAGAGAAGGAAGAGGGTAGGTTCTGTGGGGAGAGAGGCAGTTTCAGCTTAAAGGGGCAAGGAAGAGTGACGTAAAAGGGGGAAGCCTGCAAATGCCTAGGAAAGAGAAGAGCGTAGAGTATCCACTTCCTTTTGCATGTAGAATTCAGTGTCTTTCTTCACAAAGTGCATTTAAAAGCTATAAATCTGTGAGAAGGAAATAAAAGTTTTGATGGGGATACGGCTGTGAGTTAGAAGTAGGGAGGCTGGGAATCAATGGATTTATGTGTTCTAGAGTAGTCAAGTATAGTGGCCTAAGATAGGCATGTATCCAGCTAAATTGTACCGGGGGCAGAAAAGTTCTCATTTCACTGATGTCAGGAATTTTAATAAAAAAAGATAAACTGAAGGTAAATTATAATAAGGTAAAAATTATAGTTTTTACTTTATTATGGTTCACCTACCTAAGTCAGTATTTGTTTTAAATTTAAAACTGTATTTAAATTGTGTATGTAATCATTCATTCAACAAATATTAATACAATCAACTGCTCTATCACTGGCCTGTGGAGTACTTATTACAACTACCTCATCAGATTTTGTCTATCTCATCATTTAGTGGAAAACATGTGGATTTAAATCCTAGTACTAGGACTTCCCTGCTCTATGACCTTGAAGAATGAGGACACAATGAACCAGAAACTCACAGCGTAGGGTCCTTGGGAAGAAGAATGAGAAATCACCGAGCACAGTGCCCCGCCCTGAAAGCACTCATGAAATGTGCCTGTTCTGCCTGTTTGCAGCTTCAGCGAGGATACAGCCGGCACAGGACAGCACCGTGGTGAGCAGAATGGAGCGGGGAGCAGGACTGAATCACAAAGCCCCTGGAAGCTACATGAAGACTGGGCTCAAATCTCAGGGCTGCCACTCTGCAGCTGTACCATCATGGGTAGTTTCATTAACCCCTCTCTCTGTCTTTTTCCTTACTTGATGATTTAATATTTACTTCTAGGTAGAAAAGACTTAACTCATACTTCACCGTCAGGAGGAGTAAGTTACTCTTACATAAAGCACTTAAAAACAGCACTCTGAATAGAAGCAGTACTCAAGAGAGGTTAATTGTAATAACTACTGTGTAGGCAAGCGAGGAAAACTGCACAATTTAAATGTTGTCTTTGTTCCTGATCTCAAGTTGCTTATAGTCTCTTAGCATTAGGACTTATACACAGTGCAATGGGAAAAACATTGTAAAGTATAAGACTTTTATTATAAAGTAGATAAAATATAAAACTAACTATAATCAAGTGCTACAATATATTCATACTAACACAGTAACAAAGGACTGGAAAGACGACGAATCTGATTTAGCTCAAGAAATCATGAAGGCCTTTCGGATGAGGTGGAAGACTACAAACTTATGAAACAAAATCCATTATTTTCAAATTTCAATCACATGGAAACTTGGACATAAGAACTTTAAATTTTTAACTAGGCAAATAGCGGCCAGCAAATGAAAATCATTGTAATTCCCCTTGAAGCTAAAAGTTCATGTGAAGAATTTGCTATCTCTAAAACCTTCAACCTCGAGACAGTGTCTGCTGCATGGAGGCAGAGAACTTGGGACTGGTCTGTCCCCCGACACACCTCACATGTCGAAAGCGTTTGTTAAAATACACCACATGTTCAATTTTTATGTAACGACCTTATTCCAGAGAGGTCCACAGAGGAGGTGTGCCATCAAGCTAGCACCTTTTTCACTAATTTTCATGCTAATTCAGCTATGTTGCTGAGGTGCTGCAGCTGTACTTCCTAGATTCCTATCTCCCAGATATTAAAAGTTGTCTTTCTTAAGTACTGAGTGATAAGAGGAATTAAAACTGTAAATTCTTACACCGTTTCTGTGGACAAGGAGCTGTGCGTGCGCGCTTGCGCACATGTCTGTGTGTGTGTGCGCGCGGGCGCATGCACATGCCATGCACATGCTGCCAGGCAGGCACACTGCAGTCTATGGTTGCAGAACCCAATGTAATACAAGCTTCGAGGTTAAGTACGAAATGCTTAGAGTAACTTAGGGTAATAATACCATACCTGTAAGAATTCTTTTCAGGAGAGTTAAAAATGCCTTACAGGTTTTATTTAATTAATCTGTATAGTGGTCTTGGGAGTTATATGAGAGCAAATATTATTAGCTCCAATTTCACAGGAGAGAAGGCAAAGCAAAAAGGCGTTTGAATATTTTATCTGTTCATCCAAACACAAGTCATTCTAAAAAGCAAAAGCTCCAAGTCCATGGCACTGACCACACATTGGAAAGTTTGGCTTCAGTTATTCAACTGAGCACATATTGATCCCTCAAAACTTTATCAGCAGCTATGATTATGCCATCTAACTTCTCTTATTTTCCATTTCCTCTAAACCATCCTTCTTTCTGTTTAGCCAAGATCATTTTCTGCTGCTCACTTTTTTAAATTGCTTGTATCAGAAGTATGTCTTAAAAGGCAGTATGAGAACTTCCTTCTATAAAGAGCCCAAGAGGCAAAACTAAGCAAAGGGAAAAAAAGGAAGAAAAAAAACCATTCTCCTTTCCTTTACTGACACTGGGAAGTTCTACAGATGCCGATCTGTTATACAGTTACACTGGAAAGTTAAAAAGAATAGTGAAAGACGCTGGGCATGAAATGTCATTACACTCTAATCTGTCAAGAGCCATGGTGCCAACTTTCACAACACACTGCATTCTTGGAAATCACGTGAGTTACATTCTGTTGAAAGCTAAGTGTTGCCATTATTCCAACATTTACCTTTGGAATCTGCTTAGGATACTCTAAACTCAAGTGGGTTAACCTGATTGTCCTTAGGCAGCAACATGCGTGAGAAAGTGAGACGATGCCTGACGTCGCTATTGTAACACACTAAATAATGAGATGTAATGGAACAAAGTGACGTGTATATTTTTGTCGGTTAAAGATTAGTCAACAACTGTGGACCCCAGATGTAAACTATAAATACTAAAAGACTCATATGATATAAATAGCCTACACATGTGAATAGGCTTTAACTGTTAAGTTGTAAAGCATACTAGCAACTTTTCAAAAAAAGAAAAAATACGGATCTGCAATAAAATTGAGCTGCTATCTTTCTCTAAACAGCTACTCTGGTTGGGGAATAAAAATTTCCCTATCGAAGGAAGTCCTGAGGGTGGTAAAATAACACAATCATTAACATGTTAATGTGACTGGCCTCTGTTAAGTGAGCCCAGAAAACAAGATTCTACAAATGCAAACAAGCTACCTGTGGTCAGCGCCCCACCCCAGCCACACCCTAAAATGTTTGGTAATACAGTCCAGTAGCTAGATCATGAAGCCAAGGTCTTAGGGTCCAAGTCTCTTTCCTTTTACATTTCAAAGAATAAAACAACCTTGCAAGGCCATGTCTCCAGGTTTCAAAACAGGAGTTTAGAATTATTCGGACACTAGAGACTAATAATTTCATGTTCTTGCCCTTCCCCCCAGAAAGTCTAAATGGGAACATCATAAAACGGGAAATGTTTTGGTTAGAGTGAATGAATTAGAAGACACAATCTACATACCCATGACATGGTCATGGCAAATGTTAATCATCTGTACACTGCATTCCCTACTTCTAGGTTCAGAGAAGCTAGAAATCTGCATTGGATTTGTGTTTGTGTCCTCTTGGGCTTATTTACACAATTTCTGTTATCCTCAACACACCAAACGCAAAGATGGGACACAATGGAAACAAGCGTAAGCCAAGTTTGTTCACGAGATAAGAGAGCGGAGCTGCAGAAGTAACACTGGGAACACAATGCAAGTCCCCGAGCTGTGAAGCGCAGCACGAGAGGCAGACGGGTGGGAGACCGGCTTACCTCTGGCGCGCCAAGGGCATGCTCTCCAGCCAGCAGCAGCATGCTCAGGCCTCCCATCTGAGTAGGGTCTAGAAAGTAAAAAGTACATGAATCACCAACTTAAAAGCACAAGAACTAAGCATAATCCCACAATAAGCCAAGAAGTACTCACAAGGACAGAAATCCGACAGAACCACATGTAACTTTAATGGAAAACTTTCAAAAGTCTTTATATAACAATAAACTGGCCTATATGTGCTTAGTGCTCATACTTTCGTGAGCTCTGCAATACCACTGTTGTCCCATCCTTCCGACAGAGCGCACCGTTCAGTGCCACAGCTGTTTATCACACGAGTGCGCTCTGAACCTGGGCTTTTTCTGCGAATGCAGTTTAGATTCCTTCTGAGCAAAAGGATACTTATGATGTTTGTCTCCCAGGAAGCATGAGATTGTTATTCTCAAACTGTTATTTCTGTCACATGAAACGAAGACAAATGAAGAGAACCGGGTTACCAGAGAACTAGATGAGAGAGAGTAATTTTCCAAACTGGCCTCTAAAATCTAGTCAGCTTCTTTCAATAATATCTCTTTATTTTTCAAGATAAATTTAAACAAACTGATGTAGTTCAGACATTTCAAATTTTAGGGGTAAGTCAGACTCTTGTTCAAACTAGCTTCAAGATTTAAAATTAACTTTTTTCATGTCACCTAAGATCTTTGTTTTCATTCTTTCAAAAACCGACAGAAAGACAAAAACAGCAACGTGGTAGGTCTACAAACCAGGTTGTATTTATATCTAAACAAGCAAGTATTACAGCTAATAGGTCAGTTGCATTCTTTAAAGCTGTGTAAATAAGTGAAAATTCAGTACTACAGTGATTTGTAGCTATCATCTAGAAAACGAAGGGACTGGATGAGAGTTTTTTTAAAGATGTGTGTTAGATCCAACTACAAAGTAAAATAGAAATACGATTATACAACTGAAGTCATATATCAATGTGATACACAACAAAAAGCTTGAAATGTTGTCTTAGAACTATCAAAAGTATATTCACATAAACAGGCGTACTTTCCCTCTATTGAGAGAGTTTCTGCTATATTAAAATTTACACAGCTTTCCTTTCTCGGAAATCATACATTTGACAACTCGGGGGTTATTCTGAACTGCAAAATATCAAGTGACAAAGAGCACAGAGCAAACAAAACAAGTTTGCATGTTGAGAAAAACTTGCACAGATCTTTGCAATACCTCTTATATCCCTTGATTTAAGACAGCTAAGCACCAAGTTTTAACTAAAGGTAATTTACTTCACTTTCACCTTGTTGAAAGAGGACTAACTAGAAATACTGGACCAGTATTACCTCCACTATAAACAATCTAAACAAGAGGTCTGATTATAGAGTTCCAAAATATGACACAGAGCATTATATAATGACTTCAGTTCCGGGAAGGTGTTTTTCTTTTTTCCTGTACTTTGTCTCAAAGAGCACTGTTTTTAAAAGCAGACCTGTAAACATCTTGGTTGAAGGCTAGATTTTACTTTCATTTTATACATAAGATGTAGATTAATAAAGTGTCAGAAGCAACATTACAAAAAAGACGTTTTTATAGCCTTCTATAGTTTACCTATAATTATTATTTGGTGTGCAAACAAGTGCATGCAAAAATATTCTACATATAGTAACCTAGACTTATAATTGAGAGAAACAGAGCAACAGATACCAAATAATGATCAAAAAAATTCTGTTTAAAAGTTGGTTATCTGTATACCAGTTGGTCATCTGTTTTGATGGTAATAATAAAGTGTTTTAAAAATTCTCCAAATCAAGCAATCTTGGAAGTCCAGAGAGCTCACTAAACCCATGTAGCAAATGTGGGTTAAAGGTAAAACTGTCTGAAGGGACAGTTAAAACAAGAGCAGATATCTATGCACTGATGCTTTGGGAGCTCACCTGGAATTACACTACATGCACCCACAGAACAATCACCTCAACATTCTCTATCCCCAGAATGCTACCAATGCACTGAAGCTTCATTTTTTACCATTTATATCACACAATGGCCTATTAAATCTTGCTAGGTCTACCGGCTAGTTGAAAAAATGTGTGTTATCACAGTATTGAACAATCTCCTTTCCCGATTTTCACAAATGATTTAGCATGCTGATTTTAAAGAGAACTTGCCCATAATATGAAAGAGGAACCCTACGGTTCAATACCAACTTCACTGATTCTATCCTTCCCAGTCTTCCAATTTCATCTTGGCCAAGTCCTCTTTTGGAGCACCAACGTGCATTCTCAGCTCATTTTTTTTATTCTGAGACAGGGTTCTGCTGAGTGGCCCAGGATAGCAACGAACTTGCTATCCTCTTGCCTCAGCCTCCTGAGTAGCTGGCATTACAGACACCTGCTATCATGCCCAGCCAAATTCTTCTTCTGATTACTGTACTGCAAAAGCTGGAGAAGATAAAGTCCTTTGTAGGATGAATATAAATATTTTATTTCATGGTAATAAGTGCATTAACATTTCATACCACCCAAAGCATATTTAAGGTCCCATATTAAATGGGATCATCTAGAACTTTAAATTAGTTTGGCCCACATAGGAATCTGGATTGGAAGAGGGGTCAGGATGAAATGCTCTGAGACAACTTCTAGATCCTTCTAAGATATATGATGGTGGTGTTTATATTTTTGTACTCAAAAGATACTCAGATGATCTATGTGGTCATTAAACACCCCAGATAACTAAGGTCATTTCCGGGATAGCTTAACAGTGTGTATAAGCTATTCTGCTCACATTACAAAATGCCCTATGCGTCTGAGGGTCTCCACACCACTGCCTTCTTGTCCACATTGTCATTATCAGAATATCTCCTATATTCACAACTTGGTCTGTATCTCCTTCCTCTAGTTATATATAAGTCTTCTGTATGTCATCCTCCAGTGCTTTAAAATATGCTACAGGCTTGCAATTGCTTCATATTGGTCATAAATTTACTCCCAAACTCTGTAAATACAAAGTGTATTGCTCTGTACTTAAAGGACTCGTAGAAACAGTATCTAACTCACCAGCCATGCCAAAGTTAAGCTGAGGCATTTCTTCAGTCTTTGCCTTCTTGGGGCTTGGTAAATCTCTTGAAGAGTCAGAGGGGAAGGCCCACAGTTTCTTTCGAGAATTGACAGTGGGAGTTGGTGATTTCACAGGCTTGTTCGTGGTAGGACACCATTTGTAGCCAGGATTTGCTTTCATAAATGCATCTTTATACTATAAAAACAGAAGATTTTAATTAACACAGAGACTGAAATGTTATAATAGCATTTATCCTATTCCCCCATTTAGCTAATGAGCGAGAAAAATACTTTTAATGATGTTTGCGGCTTTCCTTACAGAAAAATGGCAATATCACCACTGGGCTATCGAGACAGGACATGGAGTTATGAACCACAAAGCTCATCTCTGCAATGAGGGTACGAATGATGCATATGTTGTATCTCTTAATCATCCATTTCTTTCGCAGTGTCAAAACACTGTGTGACACTGGCGGGAAAATGGAGTTGTGACAGTAAGAGCCGAGAGCCCTGCAGCCATAAAAGGCAAGGTTCAAACCCTGCTCCTTCCGCCCTAGGCAAGGGTAACCTCAGGAGGAGAAAGCGACCTCTCTGCACTTTAACCTCGTTCACCAAAACAGAGAAACATCACCCATGCCTGGATTGCACGGAACCTGTTTCCAAGTGAGCTTCAGGTTCACGTTACAGAGTGTGAGGTAGCACCAGCACTGGGACCAGAGTCTGCTTGCTAATTAATTTGCTAAATATAGTAATAAAGAGATTAATCTATGCTTTGCTGTACAAGTAAGACAAATGCAGGCAAACTTAACCCAGCCAAACACTCCACTAGGGTATAAAGGAACCAAGATCAGGAGTAGGAAAGGGTAACAGACCAGCTGACACACAGCTTTTCAGTTACTTAAGACACAGGGCCATGTACAGAAAAGGGCACCGGAAACAGATTTTAACAACCTGGGTTCAAAATGCACCCCTGCTTTTTAGTGAGCTGTGGAGCTAACACTGTCTACCCTTGCTCAGTCTCAGTGTCTCCATCCAGGAAGTGTACCTGCACCCGCCAGTGTCTTGTAATGAGCACACGTGACTGGAGCTACAAACAAGCTGCGAGAGCTTTGCCATGTAGCCCTGCAATGAACCCATCACAGGCTTCAAGTCTCAGAGGTTTCAACTCCACTTGACGTCCTCCTTTCTCCCTCATTCCTCTGAGGCCTTTTCCTACAGCTCTTTCTCCCAGGCCTCTTACCTCTGTCATGAGAGTAACATTAAGTGAAACACATTATTCGTGTTCAGTATACATTGCAAAGTTATGTTATCTGGAAAACATGTATTTTGCATGTTCTTCAATTATATGTTACTACTATTGAAGAGTTTATTCATTTCTTTCAACCTTATAAGCTTGTCTATTAAAATGGACACTGGATATGTGACATTAACTAATTTAGTTTAAGTTCCAAAATAGCTTTTTTTTTTTTTGCTTTTTTCTCCGGTACCGGGAACCGAACTCACGACCTTGCGCTTGCCAGGCAGGCGCTTTGCCGCTGAGCTAAATCCCAGCCCCCCAAAATAGCTTTTAAATTAACCCAACAGAAGAATAAAGGACCCTATCTATCAACCTTAATGTAAGGTAAGAATATGCAATTTAAATAAAGTTTTTCCCATTATTTCATTTTCAGTTATGTATATATGAAAACTATAATGCAGATAATCACACAGTATTAACAGACAATGGTATAGACAAAATCATTCCAAAGTTAACTCAAAGTTTCTGAATGATTTTCCTTTATACCTGTAAGATTTAAGTTAATCTTCTAATACATGGAAGGTAAACATATAAAAAAATCCAAGATACAACCCCACCTTTCTTATGAAAATAATTAAAATGGGACACCAGGCCAGAACCAAACTGGAATTTTTTATTACATAGCAGAATGTATTTGGGCATCAAATGAGATAAGGAGGCATACCACCACGGCACATTCACACGCAGGGGAGATTTACATATTAGGCCGAGGCAGACAAATAGCCTTGCCTCCTGTCCGTAGGTGGAAAGTGACAAATAGTAGCACGAGGTGCAAATGGCAGTAGCAGACACATGCATCATTACTGTGTCCCAGCAGAGGGCACACGGGCTGGATTTGTCAAATGAACAGTCATTTGGACAAAGGTCACTGTTTTATAATGTGACAGAAGGCTTTCAAACAAATTTATTAACACATCTGTCATTAGAAATGAAGTTATCCTCTTTGTCAGTTTAAATTTTTAAAGAAAGTTACAGTTGTGAGGGATGCTAGACGGTGTCACTAGCACTCCAATGTCTCATTTCTGAGATGTCCCTTTCCCTCCTCCCACGTTCATTTGCAGAGAGGCTCTTTCCCAGTAAGATGGCCTATCTTGCTAAGAATCACTTAGTAATTTGTTCAGTGAAGATCAGTAAGAGTAATGGAAACGGCAAGACTGGCATCCTTATAAATGCATTGCTGTCAGCGTAAACTTTTTTTGTGGAGATGGGGAGCCTGAGCTTTGTGAATGCTAGGTAGGCACCGTACTACTGAGCTACATCTCCAGCCCGGTAGCAGCTATTTCTAGAGCAGATACTAATAAAGAACGGCCAGCTTGCATTCATGTACGGGGAGCTCTTACTGAAGACCTCATAAAATAGTCACCGCAGCACAGTCTTTCTGTCGTACATATTCTACCCACGCTCACGGAAAGTACGTTATGGGCGCTGACTAGATAATAGGTTCTTACTAGACACTGAGGACAGAAAAGGGCTTGAATTAGAGTCCCTGCCTTCATATTGGCTATAATCCACAATTAACTGCACATTATTATTATTATTGTTGTCGTCGTTGTTACACATACGGTCTTGTAAGCCTTGCCTTGATTCACGTAAAGGGAAAGCTATCTATGAGTGCAGTAGCAGAGGGCAAGAAAGTCCTGGAATATAGAGGGTTTTACAGAAAGTAGTAACTGGGAACTTATGATGTGGGCCGATACTCTGGAACTGTCATCATCATATCAATCCTACATATCTTCGGCTCAATATAAACTCAAAATAAATTAGAAAACTTCCACACAAAGCAAATGTTCGTTCAAGCAAGTGTGTGTACGTGCACGCAATCTGTGTTGGAGGCTGAGCCCACGGCCTCAGACTGCACACGCACTCTACCACTGAACTGCACCCAGGGGCCCTCAGACAAGGACACACTGAGCGAAGTGCTACGAATTTCCCGACCTTAAGGAGTTTAGAGCTTGAAGGAGAGGCCACAAGTTCATATAAAAACTACAGGGAGGCAGGAAGGTGCAGGCAGGAAGAGCCCGGGGAGTGTGGATGCCTCTCTGTCCCTGGAACTGGGTACCTCACCAACCACCGCCTCGGTGCTAGCTGTGACAGTCAGCACAAAGACTCCACCACCGCTGTGATGAGGTGACCGGGAAAGGGCTGGCAGAGGAGGCTGGGTACGGGAGAGCAGGGGGGACTACGTGGTCTGAAGCCAACAGCCAAGAGAAGTTACCGGCACGCAGGTCGACCATGTGCGCACAATGTGTCATCACAGAGCTGCAAGGGGCACAGAGGTTGGCCTCACCCGAGCAGAATCCCAGGGCCAGGCTGCTCACACTGGAGAAGAGAGGGGAAGCTCACACACCCTCTGAGAACATCCATCACAAGCTACCGGCCCTGGGACTTCCGTCAAGGACTTAATCTCTTGCTAAAATACTGATTTTCAAAATGGTCTCATTTAAAAAAAAAATTCACCTCATGGCCCCCAACCTTATTCTGCAAATTTCCAACCAATTAGACGGCCTACACGGCACCAACTGTGCAGACACCACTCCCGACGTGTCTGAGACACTTGCTAACACTAGCTTCCTTCTTTGGAACCGCAAACATCACTGTATTTCATTAGCAATAAACCAGTAATCCCATTACTGATTCTTTCGTTATTCAATGCCGGTATTAAATATACCCTTTGTCACAGTTTTTTGCTTCCTCTATATTTGACAATGCCATTACTATAATACAAAAGACAATAAGCTATTATATCACTCTTTTAAAAGTGAGGTCTCAACATTAAATGTTTTCACAAATCATTTACATAAATGAAAATTTGATCTACAAACCACCTCAAACATTAATAAAAGATTACTTACCCAACTGTCTTCCCACTGTGTGTTTTTAATTGAGGGTGGTAGGGTGTTAAAGTGATAAAATCTACTAACATTTCTAGCTATTATTATAGTTTAATTATTATAGATTATATCTTATTAACAAAGTGACAGAAATAGCAACCCCTGGGGAGTAATAAGGAATGTTGACAATGTCTGTAGAACTGAAGACAGATGACTGGTGTGAATATGTGAAATATTACCATGAAATAAAATCTACCAAAACTCTTAGAGATCAGACAGGAAATTATCTGATTTATTTTTTTTTACAAAAGCTCTCACATGCATTTTATAGCCATATACTCTAAGGGGGTACAGTGCAACAAAAGAGGGCAAAAAAGCACAAATTTGGAGAGAGGTGCGAACCCTCCCATGGACAAAGAGAAGTCCTAGAAAACAGGAGGGGATGAGGACTGGAAGACATTTGAGAAGCGGCACTGATCAGCACTTCCTTCGATTGTTTTTTTTCCCTGGTACCGGGAATCGAACTCACGACTTTGTGCTTGCCAGGCAGGTGCTGTGCCGCTGAGCTAAATCCCCAGTTCACTTCCTTAGTTTGATAATCCTTCCTTCACAAACATTTAAAAATCATCACTAGGCTAACAAAACTAATTACACTATTTGATAAGAGTTATTCTTGCTAACTATTTTTATTTTAGTTTTGTTTTTATTTTTCTGAGACCAAGTCTCTCTGTAGAGTTCAGGCTGGCTTTGAATCCTATAACTATAACTCTTAACTCGCAGCAATCTTCCTGCCTCAGCCTCCTGGTTGTTCAGATTACAGGTGTGTGCCACAACACCTAGTGGGTAGCTCTTTTCAACAGAAAGAAAGTTAGACTTTCACATGATAGGTCACTGAATTAAATTCATGGTTTTGATTTAATAAAAACATTTAGAGTTACACACTAACCTGAAAAACTTTTACGATACTGCAACAGAAATTTACACATGTAAAAGTGAGCTGAATATTGTGATCAAGGAATTGTTTGGTTGTTCTACTGTGAGAAAAAAAGAAACCATGGAACCAAGGCAGTTGGCTATAGCTATGGTGACTTAAATTGTGTAAGGGTGAGGGTCACTGTGACAACTGCAGTTTGCTTTTACATATAATTTTTTAAGAGTACAATTTTACTCTCTAGTTTTGATAAATAGGGAAAAAGCAAGTTTAATAATTTTGTATTAATTGAAAACATCAAAATATCCCCAAAAAAGTAGGACTATAGGTTCCATTTGACCCAGCTATACCCCTTCTTGGTATCTTCCCCAAAGAATTAAAAGCATCACACCACAGCGATATACGCACACCCATGTTTACAGTGACACAGTTTCGGTGAATGGATAAAGAAGATGTGTGTGGTTTTTTTTTTAATATACAAAGGTGTACTACTCTGCCATAAAGGATATGCTTGAGACACTTCTAGGTAAATGGATGCACCTTGAGATCACAGTCTTAAGTGAAATAAATCAGATACATGTGTAAATACCGCATCGTTTCTCTGGTGTGAGAAACTGAAAGCGTAAAGAGGGGCCGAAATGTTTAACAGGTATTGTGAAATAGGAAGAAAATGGTCAAGTGGGAGCAGAGCAAAGAAGGGGGAGAGGGAAAGGAAAGAAGGGAGAAGTAAAAAAATGAGAAAAGAAAGAAAATATTGAAAAAACTTTTGTGAATGGAGAGGAGGGGTTGAATGGAGGGAAGGGGAGTGGGAAAAAAAGAAGCAAGTTATATCACGTACGGGTACAAATGCTCTATGATGAATATGATATAAAATTACCAATAAAATCTGATGGGAAGGAAAAAATCAAAATTTAAGAATTTCACTGAGATTTAAATTTTGGTATGTTTTAAAAACTAGGGATTTCAGCGAGAAAACATTAGCAAAGGTCCTTTCTGAAAATGCACTGAAAGATACGTAATTCATAGCTGACTAATTTGATTTTTGAAATACTTGTATTTCCTTAAAAATATGTTCACTTTGGCTTAACAATTTCCATAAACACTTTAAATTTATTCCATAAATATAGTCTATAGCAAGAATTTACATATTCTCAAATGGTCCGAAATTAACTTTTACTCACGTCCCCTTGAATGATCACAAGTTCTAAAGCCAGGATTTACTACTGCAACATCTTAAAATATTTGAGTACTGAGTCCTGTGCAGCTAATTCTGGCGGCAACCTGAGTAAGAAACACCTACAGGATCGGTTTAGCATAGCTCTGGCTGTGTCTGGATGGGGGACTTACTGTGATAACAATCTTCCCTAAAATACTGAGAACAACAGATACCAACATTTACAAAGGACCAATACGGTTACCTTCAGGCTTCATCTTATTGCATTTAATCGCATAACTGTTTTACGGGTATGGAACAACTTTCAAGCTTTTAAGTTTTTCTTATTTACTTTTACATCCTCATCTTCTGTAATTCTGCTACAGAATTACAGCCTAAATAAATGAGGCTCCAGGTAAAACAAAACTGCTGATTTCTGAAACTGATCTTCGTTTTCTATATAGCCTTGTCTTTTTCTTTGAATCTTACACCCAAACCAGGAACTTTATAATAATCCTACCTCCCTCCTTAGCACAAGCAGAGTTTTCATATAAGACTCAGGACATTTTCTTTAATACCAAAACCCACTTCTCTTTGAAGCATCTAAAGTCGGTAGGATAATGATACATTAAGAGGGCACACCAAAGACACATGCAAAGAAATGTCTGAGCTCTACCATTTGTTCACTAAACATATTCATGATACTAACTCCTTTGCCCTTAGATTTCTGCTTTGAAGAGAGAAGAAAATCGTAACTAATTTTACATGTTTTTTCCTACTTAAAACACTGAGCAAGGAATGAACCAACCAATCAATAAAGGTATGCATTCTGCCTTACGCCTCTGACCCTAAAAAGGTAGGTGGGGCTTCATAAAATTCACTTAAACTGTCTAAGCTTCCCAGATCCTCCCCTCCTCTTTGCACTGCATTCTAGATGAAAGTTAAAATGTTTGATGCTTTAAATTTATTGTCAATTGATTAATTATGATCACTAGTTTAAGTAACAAGTGGAAGGTTCCACCAACATCCTTATAACCAACTATTTCAGTAATATTCTTACATCCAAGATTACTTACAACCAATTATTGCTTTGATGACATTCATCAGAAGACAGGAATCCCTTATTCAACCAGCCCTCTTAACAATGCAAATTAGAACCGAGCTACAGTTCAAGAAAATGACAAATCCTAGAACGGGCATTTCATTCTACCAAATGCACCGATGCAACAAATCAGAAGGAAAGAAAAAGTCAGAGGAAATTTTTATGCGCTAACAGGTTTAAAAAGAATCCCTCCACTAATTCTCATCCCGGTTTTCAAAATATGTTTCTTTTAAAATCAAAAAAAGAAAGGACTAAATTGCATAACACTGTTCTGTCAATTATGGACCATATATACAATAGCAGTCCATAAGATCACTATTGCTTTGCAGTATCATGCATGTCTTAGGGTTAAGTACACTATGAGGCTTGCAGAATTACCAAGTTGCCTAATGACACATTTCTCAGAATGTACCCATTAAGCAATTCTTACCACGTACGATTATAATTTTTCACTCAACTAGTAATGGCAGGATAGACATTGGTGAATACATGTGAGCATTCATAGCACTATGCTAAAGGAGTAGGTCTTACATCTAATAAAGAATACTTAAAATTGAGGGTTCAACATTCCAAGTTTACACCTCTAAAATAGAGTTTAAAAACTGACGGGAAGTGGCTGAGTAATAGAGACCTTATCTATCACTGGCTTTGTGTCACTAACAGTCTTCAAACCTGATATACTGAAGCCACTGAAATATTTGCTGATTGAACTAACATTACAATTAAAGTTGCAATAATAAAACAAAAAGCGCCAAAACAATTACACACTTCAGTTGTGAAATCATTTAGTAATTTGAAAGAAGTATGAAGCCTGACTAGAGACCAACTGTGCAATAATTTCAAGTAGCTGAATGGTCTACACTTTGTGGTCGAAGTGAGGTAACTTTTCATAAGAACAGCCATAAACACGGTAAGCTGTAATGTGTGACATTATGGTCTCCACTTTTAGATTGCAGGGGGCCCCCTTAACAGATTTCATTATAATACCACAATGCCAAATATTGTGAATCTAATTAAATAATTAGCAAGGGATTTCCTGCACAAAAGTAATACCTCCTCCTCTTAAAAGTGGCCACCTATTGGGTTTGTAAATTAGCAATGTTTAAGAAAAGGCAAACAATATACTGGGGATATGCTGCATGTCATCTAAAAACAAACTCAAGTGTTTAATTATAGGAAGCTTACGCAGTCCCCTGTGAGGATTCAGATAATTGTTTATTTTACTATATGAGCATGACTATGAAAAGGATATAAGGCTATTTAATGAGGAAGTTTTACTGTTAATTACTGTTATGCTAGTGGAAATCTATTGAAACATTTAAAAATCACAGAGGTTGCTGCAATTGATTTTAAATTTTCCAGATGGCCTACATAGTTAAAATTCTATCCTTAACAGTAGCTAATTCCCGGAGCCTTGAATGATCATTAGTTACAGAGCAACTACACTAATCCTTTACTCTGGATTCAAATTCCCTGAACACTTCCTCAGAAATTGTTATGCTGTGTGTTAGCTTATTAGACAACTCAATAGCACCACAGCAACTGAAAGAATTATTTTTCCACATCCTGAGATGTCTAATAAAATATCTTGAAGCTATATATTTTATTCCCTGCTGGTTCATTTTTCACAAATGTTAATCAAATGTTTGGGTGGCAGGGGTTTTCATGACTCAAGATATTTTCCAAGTTGCAACTGAAAAATGTTAAAATTATTCCTTTCAGGTTTAACCATGATGATACCACTTTGCCTATATATCTTACTTGGAAATAAATCCATTCACAGTATATTTAAATGTACAATAGTCTCACAATAATTCCAGATTAATTTAGAAACAGAACCAGTGTAACTTTTGAAGAAATTTAGTAACTGCCACCATTTTGGAACTGATTAATGTCGCACCTCTGAATGAAAATGTTTACTGTATGAAAATGTTTCTCACCCACTATAGCTTAGTGTTTACAACTATCTAAGTGCACGTATCACAGACATCGAATTCTACTGTCATTCACTTACTGGTTTTAAATATTCATGCTGTACCATCTTCAGGACAGAAACGAGTCAAAGCACATCTCTGGATAATTATGCTCATTATAAAATCAGAAATGTTACAGCCAGTAGCCACGTAAGTCTTTGTCCAAATTCCTCATTTTAGTAACATTAAAAACAGAAGCTGAGACCCAGAAATTCAAACATAAACACAGACACACAAACCATACACACACACACACACACACACACACACACACACATACACACACACACACGGTCACAGAACATTACATTTAGCATCACAACTAGATCAAGACTTTCCCATAATAGAACTAGAGGAAACTAAGATTGCCATCTTTATCATGGGCCTTTTCTGACAGCAAAAGTTGAGTTCCTAGAAAAATTTAAAGGAAAAATCACCAGTCATAATAAATAAATGACCATTTATAGTCAATCGTTTAATCCCCTATCACAAAAGAAAATGAAGAAACACTTCTTGGTAACAAGTTACACTGGCATCTTCACTAGCATTTTCAAAGCAGACTTGAAGCCCTCAGGAAGAGGAAAAAAGAGTTCTTGTATTTTTACTTAACACCAGGGATTCAGGATTCATCTTGTCATTGCCAGACCCTCAACAGGTGCTCCATAATTGTGGAGTGGGAGTTTCAGACCGGCTGCCCAGAGCCACCATAACACCTTGTGATCGTAGCCTACCTCCTTGGCCATGTCTGTATACTTCTGTTTTTCCTTTGGATCGAGAACAGCCCACCAATCAGCTAGTATCTTGGTAGCACCTCGGTTATCAAGCCTGGGATGTTCTTGACGGACAAGGGAGCGATGGCGTTTGCAAAACAAAAGAAATGCATTCATTGGTCTCCGGGCTCTCTGTTCTGGTGATTCATCATCTTCCGCCTCACCAACATCTTGTTCTAGGCCATCGGGCCCAAGAAGTTGAACCTATTACCAAACAAAAGCCAAATGGTTAACATACCTAGAAGAATTTTGATTTAACAATTAGTTTTGGTTTGCACATTGTATTTTTTTCTCAGATACGTTTATACATCTAATGAATTGAAGAAGAAATTTTTAAAATCATCAACACTGTTGGTGGTTGGTAACTTATGTATGATGCATCCTGCTTAGTTTCTATAGCAACCTGTGCATGTTTCTATTACAGCATTTCTCCTATATTGTGTTGTAATTGCTTATATTCTTTAAGTAATGAGATCTTTGAGGAGAAAAATTCCTCGACTTACCTTTATAACCACAAAACCTAAATTATATGCTGTAACATTAGCAACTAATTGGTCAATTAATAAACTTGTTTTGTGATTTATGGGTCTGAAAACAATCTATACAAAATACATCAATATTAGCTTGTTCTCCCCTTTAGGAAATGCTTTTCTACAGCAAATAATATAAGAATGTCTAATATAAAAGTAGATTATAAAAAACTAACAGACTATACAGTGTTTTTGTACACACAAGGGAAGTTGCCTCATAAAATACCAAAATAAACATAAAACATGATTATTTGAGAGAAGAATTACACAGTACACTTTTAAGCCTGTAAATATCAAGCTGTCTTGTCTAGTGAGATGCTATCATGATAGGAATAAATTTCCCTAGGCTTCAACCTTCAAAATTAGTTTTGAATTTTCCCTTTCCTAAAAGCATTTTGTTGAAACATTGTTCAGGGTCTTCAAGGACTTCTACAAAGTCCTGGATCTGTGTAATTCTTATTGCCACTGCCCTGATACCACTCTGGCCTATAGCCTAATCTTTCTATCTTCAATCTTCTCTATACCACTTGCTGCTTATAGCTGCCAGATTAGATTTCTTGAAGCACATCTCTGATTGCAGAATCTCAGAAAATAGAGTATTAGGATTATAAAATATCTTCCCAAGCTAAAACAAGATTCTATGATGTTTTCTGGAAATGGTGAAACCATGAGCATAAATCCAGAATGCTTACGATGACTGTTTCTCTAACTTCCTGTTCTACAGTTAAAATCAAGAAGGATTAAAGTAGTCATTAGTTTAAATTATGCAGCGGGGATGTAGTTCTTAAACTTCAATGTGCTTGGGAATCCCTGAAGATCTTGTTAAAAGACAGATTGCTAGGTTCTATTCTCAAAGTTTCTGATTTTGTAGGTCTGCATTGAGTTCTCAGAATTTGTAATTCTAACTAGTTCCCAGGGAGTGTTGATGCTGCTTGTGTAAGGGTCACATCTTTGAGAACCACAATTATAAGGCATGCCCCTTTCATACAATGTTTATTAGGCAACTGTTACAAACAGACACTCTACAGGCGTGTTCAACCTGGAGCTTGTCAGCTGCTATGCTCGCTCTTACTCTCTTAAATTATGGCAAATAGGAAAAATAAAAAATTATACATATAAAGTAACTACGTCATATATTTTATATGTGGCCCAAGACAATTTATTTTCTATCTGTATGGACCAGGTGAGCCAAAAGGTTAGACACACCTGTTCTAGAACAAAGCACTTGTTTAATCCAATTTGGTATTTTAAAAAAGTAAGTATTTATGTAAATATTACAAATGCAATCAGTTAGCCATCAATTATCTTCAAACACAAACAGAAAAATCTTACAGTCATAGCTGTCTGATGGGTTTATTATTGGGAGATTTCTCACCCTCACTATGTATATAAGCATTAATAATGATTTACATTTTCAAGGAATATTTATTTGGCATTCTGAAACTAAGAAAATATTAGGAAGTAATTATATTTTCCCTTAAGGAAAGAATAACTCGATTCAGTTACCAAATTATAAAAGTCAAGATAAAAGCTAGAAAAAAAGAGCTCAGCTTTGGGAAAGCTGAAGTACATTCACACAAATATGTTAAAAAGGATTCAAAGATTCCAACAAAGAACCAAAGTGTTGAGTTAAAGAAGTACTAGCGGATGGGTAGAAGCACAAGAAATTCTTCCTATAAACAGCACTGCCAGAGCTAAATTTTCAAAGATGAGCTGGAGTGTGTGGGATAGTCAGCGGAGGGACAGAGAGAACTAACAGGGATTTAAGCTGGAAGGTTTATTTGTCCAACAACTTGAAGTTCCACAACACTGGTATAGAAAAGATAAAAAAAATAGGATTTAGGAAATAAGGTTGTAGAAAATATGGGCCATTTCATAAAGAATGCGCTCTTCTGTGCAGTCATTCATTTAATCCTGCAGACCAGTGGTTCAGATTGTACAGATCAATAGAAAACATCCAGTTTGGCTTAGGCAGTCAACTTTTAATTTTGCGAAGTATGGATAACAAAAAAAAAGTTTAAGTGCTATCTAGTGTTATTTCATTAAATTAACTGAAAAATGAGTGAATACACAGAAACAAGCAACAAAATAAAGATGAAAAACTATGTGGATTTCACTTTCACCAAGGACCCATTAAAACTTTTTAATAAATCAATACAAGCACCTATAGCTGGAGCGCTTTTTTCTTTTTACAACAGAGGAAAGACATTCTTAGAGTTTTATACCCAAAACTATTTTCTAGTTTCAAGTTTATTCCAGATGTTCAAGCAAAAATTCAAGCCATAGTAATAGGAATGGAGATATCAGAAGAGGTTGGTTGGTATCCAACTGAATTTGAAGGTTCAAAACTAAGCATTACTAACTTGTATGGCGATTTCTCCATACCCAGCAGAGAATTCTTTTTGTCAGATGAGAGAAAGGAGTTCTGTGAGGAACAGAGAGAACAGTGCAGGTGGGCGGTAGAGGCGGTGCCATGGGGCACGCTACATGGACACCAAAGTCCAAGGTGACCATCTGGATACCGGTGTAGAGAAGGGAGCAAGTCTGAAGATGGGATAAGATCACTGAACACAGAGTGAAAAGAGAGAGTCTGCGGACTGCAGTCTTTCACTCAACACCCTTTCCGGGCACGTGCAGTTGCAGGCGATGCAGACGGAGCAGTGAGCACACAAGTCCCTGCCTCTGTGAAGCACAGAAGCAACAGGGCCGGCCTCACATCGGCAAAGATTCCTTTGGCTGCCTTGCTGAGAGCAGACTACGGACGGGCAAAGGAGAGGATAAAATCTGTGTTAGAAATGCGGTGAGAAACAACAGGCTGGGTCAGAATGAGAACATATTTTGAAGGAACAGCTAAGGATGTAACTGATCAATGGATGGCTATGAGGCTTGAGGAAAATAAACATGTTAAGTATGAGCTACAATGTCCTGGGTTTCACAGACTGGCCTGCTGCAGTCGGTACAGGAGAAAGACTGAAGGAGAGCAACAAAAGCTTAGTTTTGCACACACTGAAAATGAGATTCCCAGTTTACAGTAAGTGGCTACGTCAAGTAGACAGTTTGAAATATGGGTTTGGAGAAAGGAGAAAAGTCCAGGGTAGAGCTAGAAAAGAAGATTAGAAACTTAGAGAGCATCAGCATTTGAGGATAGGCCGATGGAGGAACATCAATTGAAAGAAACTAGGAAGGAAGGTAAATGGATGCACCCTGAGCCATATGTTTAAGTGAAATTAAACAGAAATACATGTGTAGATACCACATCATTCTCTGGTGTGAGAAACTGAAAGTGTAAATAAGGACCAAACACAACCGTTGTTAATCCCTATCATTTTGTTTGAAACCCTGTATCATTCTTATTGTTTTTGCTTTGTTTTGTTTTTGTCTACGTTGCTGGCATTTTGCTATTGTTCTTTTTAAAAAATTTTCCTTAAAATAAAAAAAAAATTTAAAAATGTAGAATAGATATTGTGAAATAGGAAGGGGAATTAGGGAGGAGGAAAGGAGAAAGGGAAAAGAAAAAAATAATGAGAAAGGAGAGAAAAAATTGAAACAAAGCTTTTGTAAATGAGGGGAAGAGGGGTTGAAGGGAGGGTAGGGGGATGGGAACAAAAAAAAGAATCAAGTTACATCGTGTACAGGAACAAATTCCCTATAATGAATCTGATCATTATATATACCTAAAATGTACCAATAAACCTAATTAAAAAAAAAAAGATGTGTGCAGCTAGATTTTTCTCGGCTTCGTGTGTACACTTCCTCTCCATGTGACGCCTTCACTGTGTGCGATGCAGCTAGAGGCTCTCAGCAGATGTAGCCTTTGTTCTTGGTCCTCCCAGCTTCCAGACTGTGAGCCAGAAAAACTTCCACTGTTTATAATTTACTCAGTCTGTGATACCCTGTTATAGCGGCAGCGAAGACACTCAGAGGAGAACACGAAGAGACTGTTTCTCACAGGACAGGAGGAGAAAGAGCACAGAGATGAGTGCACAGCTCTGTAGGAAGCCAAAGGGGCAATTTCCTGCAGCCTCCCTTGTCTCTGTAGAAACATTCTAGTAAAAGAGACTAAAGAGATCTGCAGATGAGGACTAAGAAACAGGAAAACTTTTTAATTCCTGCTGAGAAGGGTTGAGGGAGTTGACCAAAACCAAAGAAAACAGCCTGAATAGATACTGAAGGCCTAAAAAATATTGAAAATATTGAAAACATTTGCAAAATTTGTACAGTGGGGGCTGGGGATTTAGCTCAGCAGCAAAGCACCTGCCTGGCAAGCGCAAGGTCGTGAGTTCAGTTCCTGGTACCAGAGAAAAACCAAAAAAAAAAAGAAAAAAAAATTTGTACAGTGACACAAAATATGAACTAATTTATTCTCCCACTTGGCACATGCCCTTTGGGTACTACATGGCAGGCACCATGCTTGGTTCTGAGGAGAGAGGAGAAGACAGGCAAACCCTCTCTGGTCTGAAAAGACAAACTTAACAGGAGCACAGCTAAACACAGGACACGTGGTAATGAGTGCCTTGAAGGAAATCCCTGGACCTTGGGTGAGTTGGGTGGAAGACATACTTGGAGATGATTAGGCTCTGGTTCTTGCACTAAAACCTGAGTGGTGACCAGAAGCCAGTGATGGAGACCTGGAGGGATGTGTGACTTTAGGTCACCTGAATCGCTGTGTGACTTTCTGAACAAACACCAACTGCTCATACAGGAGGCCTGAGAAAGGCACTTGGGGAAGAGAGTGGCCATGGAGGCTTGGTGGCACAAGTGCAGCCCGACGCTCTGAAGACCACGGCAGTGAAGATCAAGAGAGCAACCAGGTGCTGAGGGAGTAAGTGTTACAAACACTCGCGTCACACTGCCTTGCACTAGTCCAGAGTCGACAGAGATGCTAAAGCACAATCAAGTGAAAATGCAAACCAAGTAGGTAAACAGGAGTCAAGCTGTATGGATTTTTAGAACCACCTTTCATACTGCATGTTCTACAGAAGGATGAATGCTGAAATATACCAGAGACTTCTACAGTAACTTGAAAACTTACTTTATCAATATCCTCCTCTTCGTCCTCCTCTTCCTCCTCTTCCGAAAAGTCAAGAAGTTTCTTTGCTAGCAATGGATGCCACTGAAGACACTTTCTTTTTGGTCGTTTTCCAGCCCCTTCTCCTTCTGCTGAGTGATCTTTATTTCTATTACTGCCTTTCATTACTGTGCCCTGTAATAAGAAAAGAGAGAGAAAGCAAATTTGTTTAACATTAGTTTATTTTGCTCTCTTCACTTTAATTGGATTATAATTGTAATGGCTATCTACCAGCTCAGGCAGTAACTTACTAGATTCAGTGAGAATCCAAATATGCAATCCAGCATTTATTGTAAATAAACTGAGCTAATACTATTTGCCTTTTATGAACCTTCTTTCCCTCCACTCCGTAATTTCAAAGCTAAAAACCCACGTCGGTTTTAGGATGGTTACCAGTGCCCCTCCCCTGGCCATATTTACTCGGGCTACCGTTTCAGGGACAGTGGGGGGGGCCGACCAGGGGCGGGGGGCTCAGTGAGGTGGACGGCCTGCTCTCCCTGTCTCACTCAGTGCTTCATGAGATTCTGCAGTCTGTGAAATAAACTATGCAATACGATGACATAAAGTAAGTAATTTCTAAGAATGAAATAGCTGGGATTTGAAATGAAACCACAGGACACAGTTTCCAAACATGTGCTGTTTCTAAGGACTCAGTGTGTGAGCACCCTGGAGATCTCAGAGGAAGACGGGCGCTCTCTGTGCCTTCTACGACAAAGCGAGGCAACACTAGCTTTAGGCTTCTCCAATGTACACGTACTATTAGCAAACTGGTGAAAAAAAGTTGCTTCTGGGATTTTTTTAAAAAAATGGTTGAGCAGGTGAAATAGCTAAGAAAGAACTATGCTATCACTGTGACAAAGCCTCTTAGGAGCCCATAATTCTAAATTACTTTTGACAGACTTCAAAGTTATTGTTCATTATAAAATCAATGCATATTTCTATGATAATAACGCAAAGAGATTTGCCCTTCTCTTCATGCTTAGAACTCGATGTCAATGCTTCCTCACTTTCCTGATTTCTTACTTCTCATTCATTTATTCACTTGAGGTAAAATAAACATACAAATTACTATTTACATATGCTCATGCAAAAATTCAAACAATACAGTTAAATGACATTAATAGCTCATGAACAGATGCTGACAGTTACAAACACATGCAACTGCTAACATCACCGGGTAGTTGTCCGCTGCATGTATGTGCTACTCCACCCAAAGTAATACCCGCAACATAATACCATTAAATTGTTTATGTCATATTAAAACCAAAACTAGGGTCCGTGAACATATAACATCAAGGTTCACTCACTTCTCAAGCCTTCTAAACATTCACGTTAGTTGTTTCTGTGCTAGGGGTGATATCTTCCTCACTTCAAAACAAAACAAAAAAATCACTAATATTTTCTCCTGTACCAGCAAGACTTCATCTTAAATATCTGACTAATCTGGAACTCATTTTCATATGAAGAACCAGGATTTAGCTTATTCTTTTTTCCCCAACAGCTGGCCAAACATACCAACACCTTTCTTAAAGAGTCTAGCTTTCCACTATTCCTCCGGAATGCCACTTTTATACTAAATAACCATATTTATGAGTCTACTCCTGGTTTTCTGTGTTGATAATCATCCTCCTCTAACTGCTTATCTATCCTTTAACCAATCTTAGGAAGAACTATGTCATTATCCTAAAATATGCAAATACATTAGTAAACAGCCATGTACACTTTTTTGAGTTGTATACATCACACTCCTCTTTAGGTTAGTATATACCATGATCATTTTCGTTCTTAGTAACTGTATAAAATATTACAAAACAACTGTATCTCAGCTTCATCAGTTCACCACTGATGGACATTCAGATTATTTCTTTTATTGAGAGCTGCAATTTAAAAACACCTTTGTTTTAATAAAATCATTTAAGCAATCTTCATTTTGATAAAACCCTCATTAATTTATTGAAGCCGTATCTAGATGTGCCCCCTAACAACAAAAAAAAAAAACAGGAAAAGAAAGAAAGAAAAAGTGGAAGAAGGAAACTTATGTTTTACAGCTTTTTAAAGAAACTTTTGTTCACTATCAAAGCAATTCTACCACTTGTGCGGCTGCCTCAAGAGTACAAGCAGTTATCGAAAACTCTAAATGGAACGAGTTATCCGGTGTGCTCTTAATAAAGGAACAAAGACTTGTGTAAGTTGATAGACTATTTAACAATTTCCATTCTATCTGCAAATAAACTTGGCACAGGCAACCCAATTTCCAAAAATACCAGGGCTATACAGAGAGGAGAGAAATGGTTACTTTTGTGGTTTATTAGTCACTTCAGGATACGCTGTTTGCGTGCTAATTAAACCTATATTGGCAAACCAATATTTTAGTAAATCACCCAATTTTTATGTCGTATAAGAAATCAATGGAAAACTGTAAAGCAGCATTTATTAAGTGGAGAGGATAAAGTGATTCGTCAGTGCCTAAGGGAAAATACATTTTTAACCCCAAGATTTTACAATTAAATTCTGCTATTTCATTTTATGAATATTCTGCTATTTAATTTACACATACTCATGCACGCACACACACATACACACACACAACACAACTGGTCCCTTCTGGAGTTTTGGCTTCAAGGTCCCTTGTGGATACCAAAATCCTAGGATGCCAGGTCCCTTATAAACTGGTGCAGTACTTGCATATCACTGACTGTTAGGAGGATCTTGAATGACTCCCAAATGCCCATGTGCTGAGGCCTTGGTGCCTACCTCATGGCACTGCCGGGAGGTCAGAGCCCTCAGCAGGTAGGACTTAGGAGAAGGCAATTAGGTCACTGGGGGCATGCCTTCAAGGGGATACTGGGGGCCCAGGCCTCTCCTTCCTCTCTCTCTACTTGCGGGCCACCACAGGATGAGCTTTTTCCTTTAGCACAAGCTCTGTGCCATGATGTACTGTGCTGCCCAACAAAGGGCCAACCAGTCATGACTGAAACCTGTAATACAACGAGTCAAGACAAACCCTTCTTCTTCTTAACTTGCTTATCTGTGGCTCTGGATCACAGCAACAGAATGCTAACATATCTATGCACATTTCCACACACTTTAAATCACTCATAAATTAATTACCTGTAACATCTCAACATCTCATACAATGTAAATGCTGTGTGAACGGTTGTTATGTGGGAATCTTGGATACCGCTACACCAACGGTGCTGTGAATGGCTGTTACGCTTTACTGTGTAGGGGCTAGCGACAGGGGAAAGAAGTCTGCATGGATACAACTTTTTCCCTGAATATTTTCTATTCAAGGCTAGCTGAACCTGAGATATGGATCACATGGATACAGAAGGCCCACGATACATGTGCACCTTTCATATATAATTTCAACATTTAAAGTGAAAACAGGATATCAAGAATCGAATTAATGGATGGTAGACATGGCTATGGGGCTCACATTACTCCTGACCGGCATTCCCTACTCTAATTCTTTCTACCTAGTCCACTTGCCACCTGGGCTACAGCATTTCTCCAATACTCCAGAAAGTAATCTTCCTTACCCAGAAGTACACTAGGAAGACTTTGCATTGCCCATGTCACTTCCCACACTTCCCTTGAATTATAATTATTTGAGCGCATCCAATCTCTATTGCTAGGCCTTCTTCTTCATTAAGATCAAGGACCATTTTATTATGCTTGGCAGTATCCTGGCACACTAGAGTATCAAGATCAGGCCGCTTTGAGGGTGTCTCAAATGGCCACACAAACCCTGGGTTAAACTATGATAATGACTTCTTGTTTTGTCTTTTGGATGGTTTCAACATTAGCCACCACCTGGTGGCTAATTAGCTCACTGCCTGGATTCAGATATTCTTTCTTTCTTT